AACAGTAATTAAACAGTCCTTGTTTAGCCGTTAACTCTGTTAAGTTATCTGCCCAGTACCGACAGTCCAATAGAGGAAGAGTAAGATGATGAAGAGTTGCGGGTGAGCTGCGTGGATCAGCTGGTGGTCCTGTGAGCCAGGCTGATCAGAGTTGTGGTTCTGGAGTCCAAACAGTCTCTGCTGTGTGATGTCCGCTGGTGCAGGTAGCAAGAGGAAAGGCGTTTTGCTCGTTGCTCTGCAGAGTTAACGACTCGGCGTTAACGTCGCGTTGCTCCGGTAAAGTCAGCTGACAGACTTTCTGTTTAAAGCTGCAGATGTTGACTCCCGTTAGCGGTGCGCTGCTCAGGGATCGCAGGAAAAAGCTCTTATACCGGGCTATAATCCTTATAGCGGACTATCATCCTTTGTCGTGCGTTGTCGGTGGGTCAGGCCACACCGAGGTCCAAAACGTATCACCCGGTCGAGCGAGGTGAGTGAGGAGCGAGAGAAGAGGCGAAGAGAGGGAAGAGGCAGAGAGTTTTATCACCTGGACATCGTGCGTCATCAAGCTGCATCAGGTTACGGTCACAGGATGTGACCAAACGAGGTGACAGGAAGTCCCATTAACCCCATGTTTAAAGGTCTCCTTTGACCCTACACCCGTATGAGTTGTAGTCCCGATGCCTCCTCCCCAGCACACCACAGCAAAGAAGATGACCCTGGCCACTACAGACTGGTAGAACATCCGTAGTAGCCGAGTGCACACGTTGAAGGACCTGAGCCTCCTCAGAAAGAACAGCCTGCTCTGTCCTTTCCTGTAGAGGGCCTCAGTGTGGTCCGTCCAGTCCAGTTTGTTGTTGAATTTGCTCTTACCACACAAATGGGCCACATATCTTTGCATATAAATCTTGCTCTCTTAATGGTGATGGCACCAGGTGAGTGTTGATTTTGTGCTACTACTGGACTTAATTGCTGTCCGACAGATCTTACAAATGGACAGACTTTTGTCCAACTTTCCTTCCTTATTATAGAAACCAAATGTCTTCCAAACTTTAGAGTTTAGATTTGAACTGTTAATCGTCTCAGATTTGTAGGACATGCTAACGTTACTCTTGTCGCTCTTGCAGTGAGACTCTCATGTTGACCTTTTACCTTTCACAAGAGTTGAGACGCTGTTAGCAGCATATCTTAAAAACAGCCAGCCTTAAACTATATTAACCTCTTCACCAACTGCCATTGTTATTTTTAAACTGTTACTTGTCGCACACGTTTATGTTCATTTTTTTTTCCTCTGCAGGACACGGTGTCAAATAGGGAGTGCTGCAACGTCACATGCAAATGTTCGGGAGATGAAGGCATCCGTGGCCTTCCAGGCAAACCAGGGATAAAGGTGACTGGAATACACATTTAAATTAGAATTTGATGATAAAAACATTTGGGGAAAAGGTGTCCAAAGGAAGAAGGCTGGTTAGGGCTGAGAGCAAGCAGACCCTTGCAACAGCTTGTTCGAAGGTTAGCCTCTTGGGAATCTTGAGTATCACTGTAGACACTGTAAGGTAGACAGAGATAAAGTTGGCTGCTTTTCTTAGTTTTTAAAAGAGTTTCTGTTTATGTTACATCCACTGATTTTGTTGTTTGTGTTTTTATGAACAGGGTCTCCCTGGACAGAAGGGTCATCCAGGCTTCCAGGGAGAGGAGGGAGGCGTCGTAAGTGGTTCTTCGTTCAGTTTATATCCACACAGTGTTTACTACACGTCCAGAAGATATTGCTGTTACACTCGTTTGTACCTTCAGTCACTGCTCTCTTTGTTTGGTTGTTGCAGGGTGAGCGAGGGCCTCCCGGACCAAGTGGACCTCAGGGCATCCAGGGCTGTTCTGGATACAGAGGACAGAAGGTACAGTACGGATCGGGACAGTACCACAAGCTTTTTTGGGGGATTGTTGCAGCCAAAAATGCCTGATTTCATGGCATCTTTTCACTTTTCACCACTTTATGTAACCTCTCGTTAGTTGAGCACGTCGGCGAGAAGTAGCAACATAAGCAATTTGGAGATATATTAAGCAACCTTTACAACAACATGAGTAACATTTACTACAACTAGAAACAATGAAGTGAGTTTGGCAACATGTGGCTCAACGTTTTTGTACAGGAATCTGCAGCGATTAGTCAATTTTGGGGAAGGTTGCAGCTATTGGACAAGATTGCAAGGTGGCACAGAATTGTTGCGTTTATGTCGTGATTATGACTTTGTGGAGGGACGGATTCAGAAGAACACTGATACTGGAGATGGACGGCGACATGTGGAAGTCGTGTGCTTAGCATATGACGTTACTAAGACGTCTATTTTCAATGTTTTTAAAAACGCTCTCCATCTTACAGAGTGATTCGCTACTTACTGAAGATATAGACAGATTTCAGCTTTTGTTTATTGGTATGAAAATGCTGCTATATAATTTTTAAAACTCAGATATAGTAAACTAGACAGGAGATTAGGATACAATCACTTTCTTCACTGTGACAAACATTGTGGTAAAGTCTTCTGTTCTCTGCTATTCGTGTGTTTCAGACAAAAAAGTTGGTATTTAATTTTGTCTTGTGAGGCTGAGAAAAGTTTCTGATATGAGCATTATAGTGTATATTATAATATATAAAAGAGAACTTGTGACATCTTTGACTCCTGTTTGTGTCTGCAGGGCAACCGAGGAGTCTCCGGCAACAGGGTGAGTTCTTCGGGACTGGAATGTAATCAAAAGTCAGATAAGCAAAGCAGAAAAGTGATTTACAGACCGATGTTTGGACAAACACTTATCAAGGACAGCAGTGTTTAGATCTGACAGCTGATTTTCCTCCAACGCTGCAGGGTGAGAACGGAGAAGACGGACTGGACGGAGTCAACGGAGAGCAGGTATGAACATCAAAAACGTTTTATTAGCAGTTTTATTTGACGTCCTCCGGCTGCTCTGCGACAACTCCACTAACAGCTGTCGTTAGCTAACTGCTAATGTAGCTGTAAGCTAACTGTGCAACTGAACGGGGCTCAGCAGCCTCCCGGTGAACACAACCTCCGAGACAGAAGAGGCTAACTGTTGCCAGCAGTAATGTTAGATGTCGTTAGCTAGTTAGCTTGTGCAGCTAACTTTAGCTGACTTAGTGCCGGGGTGGCAGGAGTCAAAACCGGCAATAAAAAACCTCAGTACTAGTGAAATAATAATATATAATGCTATTTTTGGTATTGAGCTGTGTTTCTGGTTTGGTTTGCAGGGACTTACGGGACTAGACGGAGCTCGAGGAGACAGAGGAGACCCAGGAAACCCGGTAAAAAATCTAAAAACCCTGTAGATACTCTGTTGTTTACATAGTTCCTACTGTTGCTGTTACATATTTTAGCTGTTTATCTACCCACATCGATCAGGTGAGCTTGGAGGTGTTGACCTCTGACCTCAGGCTGTTTGACTGATGGGTTGAACTGTCGTCCTCAGGGTATCCCGGGTATAAGAGGGGAGGCAGGGCTGAAAGGACAGCGAGGACTAAGAGGAGATCCGGTGAGTCCCAAGAGAGTCTCTGTCTCTGTCTGTCTTTTTATTTCTCTTGTTCATGTCTTCTACCCCCCAGATCCCACCCCCCTTCTGTGCACACACCCTGACCCACCAGGAGTAGCCCTGATCCCTCACTGGCTTTCCACTCACAAAGACAATGTTGTGTTACCTGGAACAAACATCTTCAGTCCAAGTCAGTTGGATCAAATATCGCAATCGATACTTTTCTGTTAATTTGATGGAAAGACGAGATGACAATAAACTCTTAACAGAACTGGTTTTGCTTTTATGGCTTAATTGCAGTTGGCAGGAAATTCAATTGAATTCAAAAACTTTATTTGACAATCGATGTATGTTTGTACATCTATGATTGGATTTAAATGACACTGATTCTCCTGATTAGGACTGAAGTTATGGAGTAATTTAGTAATCAAGTATTTTATTGATTATTACATCGAGTAATTTGATAAGAATTACTTTTGCTTTATGAAAGCAATAGTAAATATGCAATAGACAAAAGAAGACACGTCTTTTACATTCGGTTCAGTTCCTCACATTTATAACGAACCAATTTCAATAAAAATGGTTTCACAATTAAGCGAGTTACAGTCGAGTTTTTAGCGCAATCTGAATCTTTCAGTACTGTTAACTTGCTGATCTGACCTCCGCAATATAGCAACCCTGCAGAGGCACGTCAAGTTGAGGATACAGTGTCTACATTTTTTATATTTATACACGATACAGAAACCATTTAGGTCTAAATTTTATTTTAAGAGAATCGAACAGCCTCCCCAGTCCAGTAAAACTGTTAACAGGAGAGTCTTCACTCTTGTCTCAACAGAAGACTTTTTAATGGGCTTATAATATCCTTCATCCGACATTTACCATCAACAAACCCTTAAACTAACTTCGAAGCGCTGCAGATTTCAGCAAAAGGGATAAACAAAGAGACAGGGTTAAAACACAACCTCCCTCCAAATGTGTTTCTGGCGGAGTTCTCCACATCAGACACGTTTGTTTCTTGATCATCTCTGCAGTCACATCAGGTCGGCGTTACGAATCATTACAAAATTATTATTATGACATCAATAGATCTAAAATAATCTCTGGCCGATCACAGCTGGAAGCTCCACATTGAACGCTCTGTGGAGTTTCAGGCAGTAAGGACTTTGTTTTGTCTGACAGGGTGAACCAGGCACTGATAACAGGACCCCCGGAGCCAAAGGAGACCCCGGAAACCCAGGTTCACCAGTAAGAAACATTCACATCAAAACAATAACAAAAGAGGAACTCATGCTAATAAACTAAGGCTAATGCTAACAGCTTTCAGATTATGATATGTTAATTTACTGAGCCGAGCTGCTGTTAAGGTTAGCTCAGCTTGTTTCTCGGATAACTTAAGATCCAGACGTCCACCAAGATCCGGCACCAAGATCTAAACAGTGGATAGTAAAAATTTGGCTTCAGACTGGAAACTTTGCAAACAGCTGAACATCAAGGATGTAACCTGATTACATTACCGGGTACAATTCAGGTTTTTCGTTCAAAGGAAACATCCTCAGAACACAACTTTACTTTAGAAATCAGTCTACAGATCTGAACGCAGGGTTTTTAAAAAAATCTTCCTTTTAATGTGTTTTATAAGTGTATTAATCCTTTATCACAACATGTTTAAATCCACAGGGTGTACCCAGAGAGGACGGTCGGAAAGGAGATCCTGGAATCCCTGGAAACAGGGTGAGATTTCTGTTCTCCATTTTGTCTTATGATATATTCATACCTAGTGGTTTTATTAAATATTTCCAATTCATGCTAGTTTATACTTTCACTTCACTGCATTTCCGGTCACTGTAGGTATTTTTTGCTGTTCTTGTACTACAGTAAAATTTTGTCTTTTACTTCTTGCTTCTATGCTTTTGTGCTTATATGACTGTTTGACAGTGTTTAATTACATTTAGACTTTTTCAGCTAGTCTAAACCTTGCCACTGTCGCCAAGTTCTCACTAATGGTGGGAACTGTTGTGTCTCATGAACACCAGGTTCTTACACAGCTACAGATACACAGCCCTGGACAGTACCGTATTTTTTTGACTGCTTTTGTTGTCTGTATATATTCACCCCAAACAGCCAGTAAAGTGACTAGAAAGAACCTTTAATGTGTGCATTGAGTTCTGTTACACTCGGTTCATTTAATCCAGTCACATGAGAAAGTTTTCACACTCAATCCCGTTTATTCACAGATTTCCACAGGAAGGACCAAAAGCCTCTTGATATCGGGCCTTTACTGTGTGTAGTATTTAAATGTTTTCTGTACCCACGACTCCGACTGACACCAAATCAGTTTACATTAATCAGTTATTTATGTCCCCTGCTTGTTGCGTAAAATGGTGTTTGTAAGAAACATTTTGTTTGGCAGGAGGTGAGCTGCTAATGAGGTATTAGGCAATTTCACTGCGTCCTCTGCGAATCTAAGGCACAGCACGCTGGGGGTTCTGAATTTGGACTGTGTGTACATTTTATCCATCTGGCTGTGTTTGGAAATAAAACCAGTGGAGGATAAAGAGCTCAGTGATTCTTTGGGGGAGTTTTACGGGGACTAAGTATTAAGACATGAAGTCAGGATTGATTGTGTATTTATTCTCTCCTTTTTTTTACTGTCCTCAGTTTTCTGGTCCAGTATCCTGCTGTGCAGCATTTTGCCCAGTTTGACCTGGGGTCTTTGTGTGCTGCTTCTTCTGGTTGTGTATTAACACACATTAATAATCTCAAAACTTAATCAAAAAACAGTCACCTGGTAATTAAGCCTCCAATTTGTATTTTGAAAATGGTCAGGAAATGAGTCACCAGTCTTCATTAACCCTCAAAACCCACTATTTTTCTTTTTTTTTTTTTTTTTTTGTTTTTTTTTTGTCCAAATTGTTCAAAGCAGTCTACCTGAAATATTGTCCATATAAAAGCGCTGATAAATGATGCAATAATTAAGGCAATAGTTAGCATCGTGTACCAGTTTCTAAACGGGTGGACTGGTGGGTACATTTCTAGACACAAAATTTGGGGTACTTTAACATTTCTTTGGAAGGTAACGTTGCCTATCAAGTCGGCTATCACCCGGTTTCTAAGTTTCACTTACATGCTGAATATTTGGTATGATCCAATAACCACAAAATTTCTGTATATAATAAATACATTTAGATCGGATTTGTTGGAGTGCAGAGACGAGGCTGCAGAGACGGCACACTCACGTGGACCCCAGACAGCACCTGGGCTCCCTGGAGTCCTCCAGCTCCCGGTCCTCCAGGCAAACCCTGTAAAGGACACAGGCAGTTTAAAGGAGAGTATTTCGAGTGTGTTATATAGATATGTTAACAGAGCCAGGTGGTTTGAGTTCCTGTCCTACCGTCTCACGAGGGGGCCTCTTCTTCGCATCTGGCACCCTGCCCACACAAAACAAACGTAATTCAATCAATCGTATTATTCATAATAGATGATTATATTCAAGCTGAGTCACATATGTAGGTTTACAGCAGTTTCCCAAACTTATTTTTCCTATTTTTTACTTTTTTAAACATGCAAACTACAGTAGACTTAAGTTTACAGCTGAGAAGAGCACATTCCTGGAGCAGTTTTACAGCTGTTTCTGCCATCACGTCACCGTTTCGTGCAACATTTTCAAAAAAAAAAACGGTTTGTTATTTACCTTAAATATGTGCAGTTATTTTGAGTATTGCTGTTCCATTTACTTCAATTTCTTTTAAAAATGGTCATTTATATCATTCTAAAAATATAAAGCATTATAAATGCAGTATAGCTTCATTTTTCATCATTAGTTCTTCATTTAGTTTATTAATATCATAAGCTTATGGCAAGTTTTTCCTTTATGAATGAGATGCTGATGAATGCATTGAGCCGAGGAGTAAACTGTAACAGGCCGTCTCATTGATTTCCTCTCATCAGTTAAAAACGCAGTACACATTTTTAAATACGTTATGGAGGACAAAATTAGTGCCATTAAGCAGGGAGAAGAGCATTCCTACAAATAATAGTATTTGTGCACGCCAAAATAAATAATCTGT